AGGATGATCCTTACTGCAACTCTAAAGAGAACAGTCTAGAACTGATATAACTATCCAGTATATGTAAAGTCAGTTTAGGTTTCCTCCTATGGTTTCCTCCTGTAGTAACACTAAATCTATAAAGGATGATCCTTACTGCAACTCTAAAGAGAACAGTCTAGAACTGATATAACTATCCAGTATATGTAAAGTCAGTTTAGGTTTCCTCCTATGGTTTCCTCCTGTAGTAACACTAAATCTATAAAGGATGATCCTTACTGCAACTCTAAAGAGAACAGTCTAGAACTGATATAACTATCCAGTATATGTAAAGTCAGTTTAGGTTTCCTCCTATGGTTTCCTCCTGTAGTAACACTAAATCTATAAAGGATGATCCTTACTGCAACTCTAAAGAGAACAGTCTAGAACTGATATAACTATCCAGTATATGTAAAGTCAGTTTAGGTTTCCTCCTATGGTTTCCTCCTGTAGTAACACTAAATCTATAAAGGATGATCCTTACTGCAACTCTAAAGAGAACAGTCTAGAACTGATATAACTATCCAGTATATGTAAAGTCAGTTTAGGTTTCCTCCTATGGTTTCCTCCTGTAGTAACACTAAATCTATAAAGGATGATCCTTACTGCAACTCTAAAGAGAACAGTCTAGAACTGATATAACTATCCAGTATATGTAAAGTCAGTTTAGGTTTCCTCCTATGGTTTCCTCCTGTAGTAACACTAAATCTATAAAGGATGATCCCTATACTGCAACTCTAAAGAGAACAGTCTAGAACTGATATAACTATCCAGTATATGTAAAGTTAGTTTAGGTTTCCTCCTATGGTTTCCTCCTGTAGTAACACTAAATCTATAAAGGATGATCCCTATACTGCAACTCTAAAAAGAACAGTTTAGAACTGATAGAACTGTCCTGCAGTATAATTAAAGTTACCTTAGTTTAGGTTTCCTCCTGTAGTAACACAGGAGCGATAAACATGTCTGGACTCTTCCCACATGCAATTGAGCGAAATTGTGATCAGACAACTATAAATATCAAGATTTTGTTGGCCAGCTCACTCGATTGAATAATAGTTAAAGGGTCCAACTATTGATCAGACAACAGCAGAAATTAATCGAACAGGGTCACAGAAGTGAAAGACACATAAACTAAACACTGTGCCTAAAATCGGAAACGGAATTTTTAACAGCATCGCAAACTTTTAAGTTTAATAAAACTGACCGCTTTCAATCTGTTGAGCATATGTCTTTATCACTATATGGGATCATCCTAGGGTAGCCACTTTGCAGGACTTGACAAGTGCTGAGACACATGATACTATTGTCTGAATTCGAGGAAAACAAAATCCAAAGGGAAACTATAAGCTTCCGGGTTTTGCAAACTTCGTTCAACAATGCATGTAGTATTTCTAACGTAGGCCTACTTGCATACATGTATTTCTAATGTATATATTCTTGTGAAACCAAAGGCAAAGCAAACCATTCGGGATTTGTATAATCCGGAATAAAATGTTTGCCAAAATAATTGTGCATGAATACTTCCTCATGTAAAAAGGCGGTTTAGCGCATGGATTTAGACTTCCAGTTGGAGTTTTAACATCTGCAGAAAACTAACCAGAATCGCACACATAACTTGCGAATTATTTCGTAACATGCAGTTGTACTTATGGCAAGTCACTCACTGAGTTTGAAGAGATATGGTAAACATAAAAAATGCAAGACTGCATGTACAAGATATTTGAAGTATTATGTTAAACATGCCAAAAGTTACCTGCTTCAATTTTTATTTTTTTAAATTGTTTATAAGATGCCCGGGTCGCTTGGATGTTTGAATATCTATAGAATGTCTGCGATAAAGAAAAGGTTATTTCGCAGCAAGCAATGATGGTAAAAAAATGGAGTTCCCGGAACTCGAAGGTAATTTAGTGTTAAACCGATACTGAAACTATAACAGAACAACATATAAGATCTTTTGAAATTTTTAATTTTTTAGTTTATTTTCTAGACAAAATAGTAAAAATTAGTGTTGGGACATGTTTTGAGAACTGAAAATAGGTGTAGCAGAAACATCGCACGACTTCGGAGATGAAGTGATGCGCATGCCATAGAAAATATCAATTCATACAACGAAGGACATTAAATTACTCACAACTATGCACGATCAAGTGACATGCAGCCGGAAACATATTTACTGTATACAACAAATTCCCATTTTATAAGTACAACAGCACATAATACTACACGCATATTGTGGAAACATTGCAAAACTGCAGAATGCTAGCAAGCGTAAGCAAAAAGTGTCAATTCTGCGAACTAACTACTAAATCAGAACTATCATGATGCATGCACGTTAATAAACAGGAACACGCCGTGTACTTCTTTCTCGTTTCTAAGTATAACAGAATATAAAAATACCCTTAATTATACGTTCTGGGAACGGATGCAGATACGTATGAAATGAAACACCGACTATACCCTCGCTATATAAGTCTTACCGTGGCCATGCAGTTCAGATAGTACATCAACTTCGCCTTGGGATTGTTAGGAACTGTGCAATGTGTTCCAGTCACTTTAAGACCAACTTGGTTTCGTTGGAAAGCTAGAGCCATGTTTAAAATACTGAGTACGAAAAAGGTATGGTGGTTCTCGATGGAGCTTGAATAGTGAATATAACAATGTTTGGAGTTTTGGTTTTATATAAGAAGATTAAATTTAAAGTGGGCGTGGAAATCATAAAGACGACAAAAGATTTGGTCTCTAAGGAGATTTTTGTTAAGGATCACAGGATTCCATAATGGCACTACTGTTTGAATCGAAGTTCGTTAGTTTCAATAAGAAACAATAGAACCGCCTACTTATACTATGGTGAAAAGTATTTGTTTTAAAATGAAATGCATTCTCTAGATTCTTATAAAACCTAAATTTTTCACGAGTTTACAACAGTAACGTAGTAATTGTTCCTGCATCTCAAAGAACGGACCCCAAAAAACTTGGCGACACTTCGTTGACTGAACGAAGTATAGGAGCAGGTCCTCCAGTTATTATACAGCTCAGTGGTTTCTGCATACATGTATTTTCTAGTACGTTGTTTTATTAACGAGCACTACAGTTAGCTAGGGTGACGCGGTTTTTCGATAAATCTTGAAATTTTTCAGGTTTATCATGAGCTGCGTCCTTCGCAATTCAACTTTTACAGTTCTCAACTACAAGTAAGGATGATTAGCAGAAGTAATTTATCGTTATATATAGGTTATCTCGGACAACTCCGGTATCCTCATCGACTAACTGTGGGACAATATCGACTTATTTAGCTGTTGCTGGGCATCCAAAGAGAACAACGTAGACCGATAACTAGAACTGCCTAACATAGTGTATGTTATACAGTTACTGAATATAAAATCGCTTAGAAATCGTCAAGATTTGTAAATCAATTGACCAACAAGTAACTTCTCATTCGCCAAGTCAACGAATGCACGTGGGGCCTCATTGACAATCGTGCACCAATCACAGTGCAGTATAATTTTGACAGCAACAAAATCTTATATTTTGTAACTTTTTTTGTAATACTTGCCATATTATATTTTGTCCGTTCAAAGTAGGCATAGTAATGTATATATACAAAGTAGGCATATAAATGTAGTGATGATGTTATAATTTCCAGAGAGGAAGTTGTTTTAGTAACGATAATTCCAAGAAGAAGCATCGTATACTGTCTAATTCCTAGTAAATGGATTTCTTTGAAAAGGTGGAAAGAAAGCATTCTTGGAATGTTTTAAATTACTTTCGTATAAACTACAACTAAACTATATAAGTATATGACCTGTATACGCAGGTATAAAATACAACACAATGGTATATTTCGGCAACTCTTCAGTTAAATCGACGAAAGGTTAAGAGGGTTATTATAATCTTGCATTTTTTCTGCATGCGTTCCTAGTCCTACATGCAGTTGCAATTGTTTGCGGCGTCTTCGCTCTGATGTTGCTGGTTGTTCTTAATAGCTGACCTTAATTAACCGTGTTTCTGTTAAAAATTATGTGAAGTTTGTGGTGAGGCGAAAAGTGACGTGTTTGTCAATCAGTCTGAGAAAATTGCGTCCTATATTGGTTTTGACACTCTTGGTTTTAGCTGAATGCATGATGATATATATATAATAAGAATATATATATATATATATATATATATATATATATATATATATATATATATATATATATATATATATATATATATATATATATATATATATATATATATATATATATATGACGGAATAACAAGTAGATTCCCCTCGAGAGTACACTTTTTTCCGTTTAGAGTGGCTGTCAAGAAATCTTGCTCCAACACTGACTGGACCCATAAGAATCGTGCACTTTCAGTTCTTGGAAGAATTGTCCGCATTTTCTAACACGGTTCTGCAAGGGGCAAAATATATGTTATTTTTGTTAGACGTCTTTTAAATTGATTACAATCTAATTTGCAGGGCCGTCGCTATAGGTGTGTGTGTGTGGGGGGGGGGGGACAGCCCCTGAAAACATCTTGTCGGCAAAATAACGGATTTATCGGCAAATTGTTTTCGTATAGTTAGCGAAAATATTCGAGTTGCTCGGATTAATTAAAAAGTAATAGTCATAGCAAAAATGTGATAAATTCACGAAATTACGGTACATTAATGCAAAAGTTAGTGAAAAACGGTATGCCCCCCAGTTTTTAGCCTCTTCGCTATACGGCCCTGCTAATTTGCTTAAACTAAGCAATTCATCCAGCACAGTAATGGAAGTTAGTTACCTGTTTGAGAATAGTTCATTACAAAGCGGGTCTTCATTGTCGCCTCAATCGACTACAGATGTCGACGAAAGTCGCTTTTGTCTTGACTGTCTAAACACAAATAATTACCCGATTCACTACTTAACTTTTTTGTTGGGAATTTAATTCCATATTCTTCTTCAAGGACTCGCATTTGAGGAGCCATACGATGGTAAGTGTCATGAACGATTACCGAATGGTGCTAGTTTTGGTAGATATTGTTTTCGTTGAGGTTAACTGCGACGTCTCCCTCACCAACGAGTTGAGAGGATTCGTTATTTCGGGTTGGCAGGCTTCCATTCAATTTACTCTATAAAAGCATGACATTTTTTCAAAACTAACCAATTTCTGCGTCCACTAGTGAACGTATTTATGCGGTTCTTCATTTACAGGGATACCTGTATTCGTTTCTTGCATGGAAGAATTAATCACATTTTCTAACGCGGTTCGAGCAGCCTATATTAGCCTGCGTGTCAGTCAGGACTTCTCTAAGGCGTTCGATACGGTGTGCTTTAAGAACTAGAACCGCGGACTTTGGAAAGTCTATTTAAGAACGTAATAAGGAAGTTGTCCCGTCTGGGCTTCTCCAGACCTGGCTTATTTGGCTCGGCAACTATTTATCTGATCACCAACATTATGTCCAGATTGATGACAGGAAATCATCTCCAATTTGTACTGAGTTTGGAACTCCTCAAGGGTCGATCTTAGACCCGATGCTATTTAACTTATATGTCGCTGATTTACCAGATATTTTACCACCAGGAGTACGGAGTTTTCAATGTGCTGATGAAAAAACCTTGTACATCAGCTGTGATGCTTCATCTATCACATGTAAAGCCAGTACTGTTAATGCGTCATTAACTAGCCTGACTACTTAGTCAAAAGATTCTAACCTAGCACTCAATGCCAAGAAGACTAAAACTATGGTGATTTTGATTTCCCATGCAATACACCCTTTCGATAATTATGTCATTTGGCCTGGGAGCCTCGCTCTCATGAATCGTGAGCCAATCACCTTGCGTAATTTACTAATGAGAGCGAGGCTCCATGACCAAAACGCATGTGTGACGTAATTAGGGTGTATTAGCTCACATTCATTCCCTTGATTCACGTGATACCGGAATACTACTAGAGCGAGTTCGCAAATTCAAGCTCCTGGGAGTGATTTAACCAAACATTTGAAATGGGATAAAGGCATCAGCTACTTGCCGACGTCATGCAATGGGGTATTACGCGTGCTTTGTAAGTTGAAAAATTTTACCGATTTTAAATTAAGGAAACAGTTGGCGAAGACTTTAATCCTCTCAAAGGTAGATTACTGTGATATCGTTTTTCATCCTCCCCCACAGTATTCGCTGAAACGGTTATAAAGGTTACAGGTTGCTACTGTGGAAATACTGTCAATAAATACATTTTTATTATTACTCGCTGGGGCACCCTGTGCCCCGGGCGAGTATGTAATGTGCCAACTTACATGTTCTTTTATCATTTGGATATCTACGAAGCCATTATCTCTAAACCATCTACAAGATCTACGCTTGATCAAACCACGGTACGATAACCTTCCAACACAGATAAAGTATCAAACCACAATAAATTCTACTATCAAGATCAAAAGGGCCCGAGCACCCACAAACCTTTACTACAATTCCACCGCAACATTCAGGCCTACAATACAATTAATGCACGACATTGAATTGAACCCTGGACCAACAAACCAAACTCACGAAAACGGTTGTTTTGATCCTCCTAAGAAAACCAAAGGATTGATAATTGGCCACCTAAACATCCGAAGTATTAAATGTGCAACTAAATTGGATGAAATAAAAGCACTCTTAATTCGGAAGCCTACCATTCACGTCATTTCATTCTCTGAAACTTGGCTCAATGACTCTTGGCCGGACGACATGCTCTACATCCCCAATTATACGTTTATTCGACTCGATAGATCTTCGAACACTTCCGGTGGAGGAATTATCACTTACATCCATAACGACGTGCCGTTTACCCATAGAAGTGACTTAGGCTCCGAGAACATTGAAACTACGTGTATTGAGGTCAAACCCCATTATGTATCACCAATCTTATTACTCAACGTTTACAGACCACCATCGGCAGACAGTTCTCATGACTACTGCTTGACAGAAATTATGGAGAGAGTAGCGTCAGAAAATAAGGAATGCTGTGTTCTTGGGGACTTTAATATGAATGTTCTATGTCAAAAATCGAAATCTAGCGTCTTCTTGAAACGTATACATCAACTCAGGCTCAAACAACTAGTCACAGTGCCAACGAGAACGGAAGCTCGATACGTGAACGGATCATTCAGTGTCACTTCAACGCTCATTGACCACATCTACTGTTCATCTGAAAGAAATGTTGCGTCAATACATGTACCACCACTTTCTCTGAGTGATTACTATCCTGTCTTCCTCGTACGCCGTTGTAACGCTTCCATGAGATCAAAACAAAATGAAAAGAGCACTATTCAATATCGATCCTTATCCAACTTGAACAAAACAGATTTTCGTGAAGATCTACGTCTGCCCCCATGGTCCTCAATTGAAGCATTTGATGATCCATCTGACGCCCTGGTACGAGTTCTTCCAGAGTGTTGTTGAACGACATGCCCCTCTCCGAACGAAAAGAGTCAAATCCTTACAGCTGCCTAAGTGGATGACGCCTGAAATTCTGTCTGACATAAAGAAACGAGATCAGCTAAAAGCAAAAGCTCGAAACGGAACAATATCATGGGAAATGTTCATGGGCGTACCGGAAGGAAAAAATTGGGGGGGCGGAAAGAAAATTGCCCGACTTTTCGGGATTTTGCCCGACTAGTACCAAAAATTTTTTTCCGGAAAAATTATTTTGGCGACCTTTCCCCCCCCCCGTCGCCAAAAAAATTTCGGTCAGTGTACCATTTTAGGGGTCAAAAAATTTTTCCGGACAACAAATTTTTTCGGAGCATAACACATATTTTCGAAAAATCACAAAATTTGCCAAAAAATTGACTTAATTTCAGACAAAATTGACAGAATTTGTCCCATTTTTTTTTATTGCAAACCAAAATTGCCCGACTGTTGATCGAATATTGCCCGACTGCCCAAAAAACTGGGGGCTACCGCCCCCCCC